GGGGCAATGTTTGTGGGGCAGTGTGTGCATGGGGGCAATGTTTGTGGGGCAGTGTGTGTATTGTTTGTATGGGGGCAATATGTGTATGGGGCAATGTTTGTGGGGCAGTGTGTGTAGTGTTTGTATGGGGGCAGTGTGTGTATGGGGGCAGTGTTTGTGGGGCAGTGTGTGTAGTGTTTGTATGGGGGGAAAGGAGGGTAGGGAGGCTTTCTTTTTTTTTTTATTAGAATAAATATATTGATGTTCCCCCTCCCTTCTTACCGTTACTGAGGGGGGAGGGGGGACATTTCTTAGTCCCTGGTGATCCGGTGGGGAATCCCTGGTGACCCAGTGGTGACAGTGAACTCTAGCCCGCGCTCCAGGGCTAGAGTTCACTCTCGCGAGATTTGGAGCGTTGCCGTGGCAACCGCAGCAACGCTCCAAATCTCACGAGTCGAGGACCCGAAGGAGCTGCAGGTAAGAGCTCCCAGGTCCTCTCTTCCTCCCCTGCCGGCTGTCAGCACAGTGCCTGCGGACCCAGGAAGGAGATCTCTGATGCACATTGCAGGGCTGTCACTTGGACAATGCCAGCACTACATTAGCCGGCAGGGGAGAATCTCGGGGGGGGGGGGGGAAATTGCCCTGTTGCCCCCCCTGGAACCGCCACTGTGTTCAATTCCTGTTGTACATTGGCTAATTTGATGGATTCATATTGACAGACGATATTCATGAAAGTGTTAGAGCATTTAGAGGCTACTTCGTCCCATTCCTTATAGATATCATCTATCTCAACTTGTCTTGCTGGGGTGATCTGTACCCTCAAACCCCTGGGTATAATATTTTTTGAGAGGTATTTCTCAAGTGTAGATACCTCCCAGCTCTTCTTAATTTGTTAAAGCTTCTGTGAATGTTAGGAAGGGATAGAGTTTCTAGCGAGCTCTCTGTACTAAAAACAGAATCAACATCACTACACCAAGTACTAGTGTTAGGTTTATTCGACAGGAAGCCCGCCATAATCAGTAGAAAGCTTAACAGTTAGTGGTGACCAAGGTGAATAACACCCAGGTAATTGAAAAGTAATAATGAGAAGGAGAGGTAAAGGTCTAGGATAGGGGCTTAACAGAGCCCTGCATTAGCCAGCAGGGGAGAATCTCGGGGGGAAAATTGCCGCGTTGCTCCCCCTCTGGATCCGCCACTGAGGGAGGGAGACATGGGGGAGAGACATAGAGGGAAAAAGACATAGATGGAAGGGGGAAGACGAGACATGGATGGGAGAGGGTAGAAGCGAGCGGAGCGGAGTGTGAAGCCACACATTTACTATGCCTAGAGATTGCAGAGGGACTAGGGAGTGAGCAGAGCGGA